TGAAAAAAAAAAAAAGTGTTTGTGTTTGTGTGTACAAAAATATGCACGTAGTTATATACACGTTTGAGAGGGTATGGAATAACAGATTCTCGCGTGCTAGGCCGATTGTTATGCGAGCCAATTATATAGTATTATTTTTTAATAAAAAGCATAATTATTTTAATAAAAATGTCTTTAATAAAAATGTATATTAATATTATGAAATATTAATTGTTGTTATGTTGTTTGCTAGAATAGGGTTTTTTTTTTTGTACAAAAAATATGATATTTCAATATGAAAAACTGTGAATGAATAATATCTATTTAAGAATTACATTTTTATGAAAAAAATTGTTTGAGAGTAGAATAATATAAATGTATATTTATTTATACTTTTGACCCAGTCACTACGTACTACATAAACAAGTTAATAACATCATTGTGTGTTCCGGAAGTTTCGGTTGGTGAAAGAAAGTTTACTAAAAATTATACATAATGCTACTTAATTCTATTGTCACAAGTGCCCCTCTATCATATTGGATGAGCAAAATTGCCCTTAATTTCTTGGCATATTTTGAAATTGTAATTTAATCACGATTTTTCACTTTTGCAAATTATATCACAAACTTCAGTTTGTTGCAAATTGGTGCATCGATTTGTATATCCCGTGCAAACTATATCACAATATTCAGTTTATTGTTCGACCACATCAGCTTTTCTATAACTATTTTCAGACTGTTTGCAACAAACTAAAGATTGTGATATAATTTGCAAAAGTGAAAAGGTCATTAATAAATTGCAACTTCGATAAAGGTCGTGATATTAGGAAAAAATTTGCCTATTGGATGAGAGCATTCATATATGAAGTGTGGTATGATAATATATATATACACACACACACATATATATATATATATATAACAATAAAAATAACAATTTAACAAAAATATAAATTAGATCTAATGTTGCAAACATAAAAAAGTTTCTCTGCCCAAAAAAGAAAAAAAGAAAAAAAGAATCCCCAAGTACCTAGACCTAGTTTCTGACCCTGGTTCGTTTTTGTGCCTCTCCACCGGTGGGTCCCTCTTCCCCAGCGAGGCCGGCGCATGGGACGACACCTTGACTGACGGCGAGAGACTGGGCGAGTTTTCGTGGCCTTCTACAAGTGAATTCCTCTTCAATTCGATGGCCATGGCGGGGAGGTTGCAACGGCTGGCGAGTCTTCTCGTGGAGGCGGGCACCGACCACTTTCTTGTGGCGGTCGGTTCTTCAAACTTAGGCTTTGATTCTCCCCCACTTTCTATCTGTACTTTGGTGTCGAGTTGGCGGAGACTGTTGGTGGGTGCGGCTGTCGGCTACAGTCGGTTGGGCAGTGAACGCTGGGTGTGTAGGGGGAAAGCTTGGGTGTAGGTCTTCTGGTGCTTGTCCCAGTGGTGATCTTTTAGGAAGAAGTCAAGTCTGTCTGAATCTAGTTAGCCAGTACTGGAGTTCTTATATTTGTGTGTAGGCTGAGAGCTAGACTTTCTTAGGTGGTTGTCTGGTGTGTTGGGTTTGTTAGGTGGAGAGGGATTTTATCTAGCTATTAGGTTTTTTTCTGTGTTTTATTGTGTTTTATTTACTTTCTCTCTTGTTGGGATTGTGTAACTCCTCTTAGTCTTCATTTGTAGGAGTTTTGTATTCTCCTGTTGGGAGTTAGTTTGTGTTGGTTCTAGTCTGCAATTGGTATAGTCCTCCCAACTAGGGGTGTTCACGGTCCGGATTGGTCCGGTTTTAGCCCAAACCATGACCAAACCGGACCTAACGGTTAATTTTTTTTCTTGTCCATAACCGGACCGGTTTTATTTTTTAACCGACCACAATCCGGACCGCATTGGACGGTCCAGTTTGGCGGTTAATCGGTTAAATCCAAAACTTGTTTTGAGCCTTCAATTTTTATTTTTTTCATTTTGGGCTTAATTTTTGTTTTTCAATTTTGGGTCCTAAAGAGATTATTTGGGCTTAAAAATTAAGAAAAACAACAATAATGAAATAAAAAGTACACAATTCGTCTCATAAGCATAAAAATGCACATTTCCTCCCATAAACATAAAACTACAAAAATGATGAAGATTAATTATGCAAACTGAACTCAAGCAAACATTTATTTTTCAGTCAATTTATACACCTGAAATAATAAGAGCAAAACATTCATAGTGAATGTATTGTATTTGTCGGCCATAGTGAATGACTGAATGTATATATATATATATGTTATAGTTTTTTAATATTTACCGGTCCGGTCCGGTTAAACTGGCGGTTTGCCGCAGGTAATCCGTTAACCGGACCGGTTATTCCGGATTTTTAAAAAAATTAACCACTGAATTTTTTAAAGCTTTTTTAACTGACCATTTAACTGATCCGCGGTCCGGATTGACGGTTTTTTCCGGTTAAAACCAGACCGTGAACACCCCTACTCCCAACTAGATTCAGCTCGGTAGACGACTGTTTAGTTGCTTTCTAAATTGTATTTTGTATTATTTATAAATTTTATCGTTCCGAAAAAAAAAATAACATAACAGTGTTCACGCAGAATTTCAAACCATTAGCTTACATATGTACATAGTATTAGACCGCGAATTACAAATGGCTGGAAAAGCTCGATTGCTATTTCGCGTAGTGAGAAATGTTTTTCTAGGCTGTCAAATACCTCGTATAAATCTTCTGGGAGAAAATATTCAATTCTCAAAAGATTTACTTCACTCTTATTTAAAAGGGCCCACGGGTCGTGAACTTCTTTTCTCCGAGAAGAAGCAATGACGGTATCTAGGGAATAAGCATCGGCTAACTCTGTGCCAGCAGCTGTGGTAAGACCCTCTAACTCATGAGACAGGCAATGCGAAGCGACCTTGGGCCACCGGAGAACCTGCCAAGTTCGTTAAGACAATGAGGCACTTGTTGGGCTCACAGGACTGCGCGAACACTGCCTTGTTACTGTCACTGAATGCCATACTCTCAGGCATCTTCCTTACCGAAAGCCCTTGACTTCACTGCGCTTCTAAGTGTTATACTTTAACACTGCTATATATTAATCTACGGATCGTGCGATACATAATTTAACTAATATTGTCCATTTTTATTGGATTTGTATTTTATTTGAGCCCAAAAACAAAATCCAACGTATATAGGTTGTAGGCCTCAACAAGTATCCTTATCGATCCATAAATAGATGTCCAGTGTCAACTTGCCGATCTCATGTGATAAGGAATTAAAAAAACAACCGCTCAATCACGTCTCATCCTCAAAATAATTACCGGCACGTGTCATTTTGCATGCGACTCTTCTAGATATGCAAGGGCGAAGCCACCAGCCCGGTCTTAATTCTCTGGGCTTTGATAATTTTATATTTGTAAAAAAATATTTTAGTCCATGTTCATTAGATTAGCCCAATATTAATCTTATTTTGGCTCAAATAAATAAGTTAAATTTGTTACATTAAATCAATGAATAATATATTTGAATATGATTAAAGTTTTTTCCACTTTTCTTTTTAGATTATTATGTCTCTTTTATGTCATTTTTGTGTTTATTTTTTATTATTTGATTAAATAAATTTTATTTGAATAATTTTATTCGAGAGAATATTTGATTGTACTAAACTTTCATTTGAATTACTAAATCTCATTTATTTGTCTGACAAATTTAATGAAATGACATGTACTTTAAATGACATGACATATAACAAGAATGATGAGACTATTATACTATATTTTATAGTAGTTATTTGAGTAAATTAAATAATGAAACAATTAAAAATAACTTGTTATCATATGTATAAGAAAATAGTTAAATATTCGCAAGTTTTTGTTCAAGTAGAGTCATCTCCATATAAAACACAAACAGTTAGAAAGTATAATAATTTTTTATATTTACTCTGTGGTTCAAATAATTTATATTAAATTTAAAAATTATTTTCATACTTTGGTTTTTTTAAACATGTGTCTAGCTGAATTTTTGAAAAGAGTATTTCAAGTTTGAACTCGTGCTAATTTAATAGACGAACTGTCGTGCCTTAGTTTAATGAACAAATAACAATTTAAGCTTGAGTTTGACTCATATAAACTCCATTCATTTTATTTAATAAACCTTAAAACCTAGACTAAAACTAAAAAGTCTAACCTAATTATTTGCAAACGCGTTATACTCGACTTGTTTGATAAACAAACTCTATTAGTTGTTTGATTTTAAATTATTTAAATATACAAGAAAGTCAACTTCAAACTTTTACCAGTCGAATCAAACTATGTTGGAGACAAATTGGTTCGAATAACTGCAACATGTTTTGTAGATCAAAGTGAAAATTTTCTATCAATGCCCATGCTTGTGGTAACTTCGTTATCGACACGGAGAGTACAAGTTTGCCGTATATCATGGACTCTTGGGACGGGAGTTGATTTTTGGTCTTAGCTAAGGCGACACGTGTCTTTAACACGTTGCACATGCACATGTTCACCTCCGATGGGGTTCTCATCATGCTGACGTCTTGTTCAGGTCAGCACCAGGTAAGGTAGCCTTCAATGGATAAAGAATTAATCTTTCAATTAATCAATATGCTTGACATTTTGGGGCTTGGGATATGGGATACTTGAATTATATTTGATCTTGCATACATTACAAATATAGATTAGTTTTTATAAATTATATGCGTATATATATTTATATATATAATTGCTCGTAAAGAATTTAATAGAAATTTTTTTGTTTTCTCGACTTGTTCCGTTACTTTTTCATTAATGAAGTAATTATATTTTTTTTATTTTATTATATAATTGATACTATTAAATATTAACTAATAATAAAGCCACATTAAATATTATTCTATTCTATAGTTTTTTTCAAACTATTTATTTAAATTATTATTTCTTTTTTACCACAACTAATTAATTATTTTTTATGATATAATCAAACACTTTAAGATTTGTACACAATTGCTATAAATAACAATTTTATTATTATTTTATTTAATTAATTGGTCATAATCAACCAAGATTGTATCAATACAAAGATTAATATGTAAGTTAAATAGGTGATATTTGTATTGTTCATTCTTACATATGCTAAAATTGACAAAAATTGATTTACTCATTATCTAATTTATAATTTTAAATATTACATACAGATACATATAACGTATAATTTTTTTTTGTTTGTGTTTCTGCATATGCACATGATCGAATATTAGTGTATATTATATTTGAAATCATAACTTAGATAAGAAATATACCATATTTTATAAATTTAAATATTAGTATAAATAAGCAATATAATTATAAACTTTTTAACTTACATATAAATCACTATATTGAACGCAACAAAGTATTTTTACAATTTTGAGTGGTCAATTAATTAGATTAAAAATTTCATTATAGCATTTGTGTGTAGAATTTTAAGTGGTTTGGTTATGCCATAATAAATAATTAACTGATTTTAATAAAAAAATGTTTAATAAGCTGAAAAAAATAATGATTTCAAATAAATAGTTTGGAAAAAAAATTGCTATAGAAATTTTTATACGTATATGATTTTTTCATATATCATTGGATATGACTTTATGATTAGTTAGTAGTAGTTATTACGTAATAGAATAAATAAAAATTTTAATTAATTAATTAATGAAAAATGTAACATTTTAAAAAAAAATTAACTAGAAAAAAAATGAGTAGGAAAAAGGAAAAAGGCTGTCTTTGCATTAAATTTAGCTCCTAATTACCCACACACATATAGAGAGATTCACATAGAATAAAGAATAATTGGTTGGATTTATGATTCATGAACCATAGATTTTCCCACAAAATAATAATATTAATATGAATTATGAAATATTTTTTTAACTGCTTTTCTCGAGCACTTTGAATTCGAGTCGAGCTCGAGCCTAAAAAATCGAGCTCGAGCTCGTCGAGCTCGAGCAGCTAAAAAAAAAACAATCCTGCTCGATAAGGTCAACGCTCGACTCGACTCGACTCGTCTCGTTTGCAGCCCTACGCTGAACGTGATTAGTCCTTCTTGGGACCAAAATTCTTAATGCCAATGAAAATAGTTGTTATTTTGAAACATTTTAATAATATGAGTGATTAATAAGATTCCAATAGAACTACCTTTAAGTCTTTTAACACTGTAATATGACTATGTTCAATGGTAGATCAGATCACAATAGCAAGAGAGCTATGATAGAAAATCCAAGATATTTTCATTATCAGAAAAGAAAGGAAAAGGAGTACAATCAATTACAACTAGGGGTGCACAAAATATGGTTAACCGACCGAAATCGAAAATTCGATTTCGACTGAAACCTAAAGCGAATATTTGGTTCGATTTTTGAATTTTCTTAATATTTCGGTTTTCGGTTCAATTTTGATATAATCTCTCGGTTAACCGAACCGTAAACCGATATTATACATACAAATTTTAAAGGCCCAATGATATATTATTCAATATCCACAGGCCCAAGGCCAGTCACCCACCTCCCAACCACCACCAGGCCCAAATCCAATCCCACTCATCTGTAATATGTCATCTACTAATCTCCATTCTCCCATATCCATTCTTCCTGTGATCTATCATCGACTCATCTTCATTCTCCCATATCCCTACTTCAGTCGCCTTGACGAAAGTGGAAAACGAGCCATATAATAAGTACACCACACGGAACAAGCCATATAATAAGCATACCACACGCTCCACCAAGCAGGCCGGCATTCGACGATGACGCTCGTCTTCTCAAATGAGTTCGCCACCCAAATCCCCTCGTATGGGACCATAATCACGAATTGTAGATTTTTCTTTTGTCATTTTTCCATTTTGTCGGATAACCGAACCGACAAACCGCTGGATTTCGGTTTAAAATCGAACTGAACCGTAGATTTCAGTTCGATTTTCGATTTTAATACTGGACAAACCTAATTCTTGGTTAACTGAAAATTCGGTCGGTTCGGTTCGGTTTCGACCGAATATGCATCCCTAATTGCAACAACCAGAAACAAAAAATATTATGACTTGTATATCAACTAAGAAGTTGAAAGTACCATAATGCCCCCAGGAATATTAGCTAAATACAGAAATAAACGGTAACACACTATTGCATTATTTTATAAAATAATTTATATTGTTATTTGATATTTTTTAAAGTGGTTTGATGAATAAAATTAGTTTATCTGTAAAGATAGTTGCAATTATTTTTTATTTTATATATGCATATGTGTCAAATCGAAGATTGTTAAAAGATGATTATTTCGATATGTCATATATAAAAAAAAAGTTTTAAAGTTTTAAAAATAAAAATAATACATATTTATAGTCACTATTATATGAATTAAATGAGAAAAATGAAGAGTAGATTATGATTTTTCTTTTAAGAAAAAGAGAAAAGTAAAATAGTTTATGATAGTTCCGAAGCATAATAGTCAAAATCAAACTGTACATGCGTCACCAAATAAACTTACGAAACTTGCAAGTCTGTCGGATAAGCTCAACGCATTCGATAATGATATGTTAATTTAATTTACCTTTCACGGCTAACATATTCATTCAATTTACCTTTTAGGGCTAACCCGACCCGTAAGTACATACGAAACACTCCGAGTACCCGGCTCCACTTTGAAGATTTCCCCAAGAGTAGAACTATAGTATAAAGTATAAACACACTATTCAAAACACTTGCCCTCAAAAATTCATATTTGCAGGTCGTCAATAACCCCATCCTTTTCTCCGCCATGGCGTTTCCGTACATGGAATCTGTTGTCGGTGCGTATTTCCTCATTATTAGATATGTATATCTTTTCGTCTTTCAATGTATAGGTGTATAATTCTTTTTAGAGGGTTTTATCATTGACCTTCTGTCAATTTTGTGTTCTATACTGAATGAGGGGATTCTGTATGTTCATGGTGATCAGTTTCAGTACGTATTATTTTTTTTTTTTTAATTTGTGTGGGTCCTAATTTTGTTCGGCCTTTTCAGTTGCGGCATGTGATGTACTATTCTGCATATGAGTAATGGCGGTTAGGGTTTTTCATTTTAGAAGCCTATTAAGTTGTGAGGTCTCAGTAAGCATTTTGGTAATAATTCAGTTTTTGAAGGTAGTAAGTAGAAAGTTCCTATACTTCAGTTTGGAATATAAAAGGAGCTACATAAGTGGTATGCATGATTGGGTTTGTCTTGAGCAGCGACGAAGCAGAGATCGTGTTGGGTTGTAGAACCAGAGGAGGCTCCGCTTGAGGCACATTCTTATATTTATATTCTTGTCGTACGTGTATCTAATTGCCTAATATGATGTGCATCATTTTCAAATATGTCTGTCGGTTATTTTCTTCCTCACTGTACATTTCTAAATGAGGAAAAACTGATAAGACCCAAAAAGAGTTTAGAAACTGAATTGAGAGCAGGACTAAGAATGTAGAAAATTAGTTCTTTTTATTTGAACTGTCATTTGAGTAAGAATAACAATCCCTCCACCCCTCAAAGGCTCAAACAAACCTAATATCATGTACCTTTTGAGAGAGTAGCAAAGACACAAAAATGCCCTGGATTTTTCTTGAAATTCCAGGGTCCTACTGACCCCCTTGGGATTTCGTCCTTTTTTTACATGGTATGCCTTATCTTCACATTTTAATGTCTTTCTATGTTTCGTGTCTATATTGATGTATTACAATTGGAATGCGTGTACAGGATTTCATATTTATGTTTTTATTGGTTATATATATTGTTTTTATTCAATTGAAGTTATATATTAAAAAATTAACTCGCCACAGTCACATTCTTTTGTGTGTAAGTACATATTGGATTATATCTGTAAGCAGAGTATTTTATTATTGTAATTTTTTAATAGGGAATCCTTACGACTTTATTCCTGTGATACTATATCTTTTGTGGTTGTGTATATGCAAATTGTGTAATTTAGAGATAAATTCTGAACATAGGTATTATTTTAGGGTAGGTTGTCTATTCCATTGGATGAGTTTGATATGACAAACGTAATGCTTAGTTCTATGTATTGATTTTTCTTCAAAAGAATGATATATTTTTATGTGTCTGTGTGTGAGAGTTATCTTGGGGGGATAAAGTTCCCACAGTTGTCATTCGTTGTTTACTCAATTAATTTTCTTTAATTGTCTAGGAATCAAATCTTATGAAGCAAATTTTGTTTGCACATTTATCTTTTGTCACTTGTGTGTTCTGTTCCTAATTTCTTCTTATGTTCAGGTTTTATGATAATGGTGTACTTTTTTGAGACTTATCTTGATTTGAGGCAACATGCTGCTCTTAAGTTGCCAACTCTTCCCAAACCGTTGGTTGGAGTAATCAGTCAAGAGAAGTTTGAAAAATCCCGTGCTTATAGTCTTGAAAAAAGGTTTGTGCATTTTTACTTCAAGCGAAACATAGCACAAAGTTGCACATCCAGTTTTCTCCTTTCCTGACCAGCTGTGTTATGGTTGTTGTCCTTTGTTGTGTCAGCCATTTCCATTTTGTGCACGAATTTG